AGCACGGGGCCTGGCACGTGGTAGGGGCTCAGTTAGCGTGTATTGACTGACTGTGGGTTTCCCACTCCTGCCAACAAAAGAACAACAGCCATTAGGCAGATATTTGTCCAATCATCCAATCCACCAATATTTGCTGAGCACCTAAAGTGTGCCAGATCCTGAGCTAGGTTTTGTTTTCTCAACACAGTGACCTGGAGAGGCAGATGGTATTGTCCCTAATTTGCAGATGAGGAAACTGAAGCACAGAGTAGTTAAGTAACTCACTCAAGGTCGCAGAGCTAGTGAGTGACACTAGTGACAGAAGCAGGCTTCATGGAACTTCTGGGCTGGTGGTGGTCCTGCACACTCCCTTCCTTGGGATGAAAGCAAAACGGGGAGGTTTGGGCGAGGGGAAGGGACAGGGCAAGCACCACTGTGTTGTTGTGTTGGTTTGTGACGTAGATCACGAGCACCAGGGTTCCTGTCCACCAGCGGTATGACCTTGGGACTGTGACAATCTCACATCTCTAAAATGGGCCATCAGCCAGCCCGTGCCTGGCTGACCTCTCGGAGTGTGGTGAAGGTCCAGTGAGCCCGTGGCTAGGATGGGAAATAATCATATGCACTGGTTTGTGGGACGGAACCAGTACATGCTAGTGGACCCGACATTTGCATTGCGAATCATGCCCCTTTCACTCTCAAAAGTGTCACCGTTCAGACACTAAATCATAGGGCCGCCCTACCATCAGCCAACGTGGGGAGGCCTTTGGGGAGAGCGAGGATAATTGTCTGCTGCCTCTCATACCCCTGGAGCCTGGAAGGAGGCAGGAAAAGTTTAAATCAAAGCACAGGCTTGGACAAAGGGCCTGGCCGGGTCTGGGCCCACCTCTCCTCCCCAGGTGCCACCCAGCTGCTCTTTCCTTTAAGCATGGCCTCACAGGGCAGGCTGAGGGCTCTCCAGACCCAGGAGGGAGGAGCCCCTCGGCCATGAATGTGAAAGGAAGGAGCATTCATTGAGCCCTATGGTGTGCATTAGATGAACTCATATTCAATACCTAATTTTTAATTCTCCCCGACAGCCTGGGAAGACAAGTTTGTGCATCCCCATTTTGCACCTGAGGAAACTGTCTCAGAGTGGTGAAGTCGCATGCACAAGGTCACACAGAGCACTAAATCTCTGGGCCTGCAGACAAAGCAGCTCCTGAATCCAAGGAGGCCCAGGCAGGACCCACCCCACCTACTCCAGGGCCTGTCACCACATCTCTTACAGGACAGGTGGCACAGCTTTGCTGAACCACCCCCTCCCACTGGCACATGGGTTTGTAGATTCTATGGAAGGCACGGAGAACCACAGGAATGGGGAGTTGGGGTGAGGCATTGGCTCAGGAGCCCTGGGTGACTGACCTCTTTATGGCTCCTTCCCAGCAACACTTGCTCCCCTAGATTCAGCCCTGCAGGGAGCCAGCCTGGGGTAGGGGAGGGAACATGGCTGGGACTTTAACTTTCCTCAAGCAAACACATCATGGGGTGACCCCTGAACATCAGCGGCAGTCAGGGTTGTCAGTACAAATGGGTTCTAGGCCCACGCCTTTCAGATGGAGAAACCGAAGCACAGAAGAGGCAGGACTTGCAAAATCACTCTGTGCAGTAGAGGTGGGGTCAGGCCTGGAATCTAGGCATCTGACCCCACCCGGGCCCTGCCCTCCAGATCACACCTGTCTGCCATCCTCTCCCCCATCACCACAGCCCTTGTTGGAAAAGTCTGTACTTCATAAAATAAAAACCCCAATTTTTTCTAGAAGACGTTGTCCACATAAGTCAATCCACCCACTGAAGCTCGAGTTTTATGATCATACAACTGGCCGTGAGTTCAGCTACCAAGAACCTTTGACAATTGCTGCCGCTACCATCCCCTGTCCCCTGTCCCCGGTCCCAGAGGAAGGTGGGGTACTACTTAGCAGAACAACTGCTTGGGAACCCAAACCAGTAAATACTCAATCTGTCTCCCTTTCCACCTTCCCTCCTCTCTCTCTCTCTCTTCTATTTCTCTAGGTCTGACATCAAACCAGAAGTGGCATGTGTGCTGATTTAAGGAAGGTGTTAGATGAAAAAGTACTTCCTTTTATTATATGGAGAGATATTTTTAAATGCATATAAATAAACATTTGAATTTGCTTGAACGTTCAGACTTGACCGCTATAGAGCGTGTGTTTTGTTTCACCAGCGAGTGGCGACTGTGAAAAATGAGGATCCAGACTGCTAGTCCATCTGGTGTGATCCAGAGAAGGCGGTTCCGGAGCAGCTGTGCTGGGACAGGACTGCCCCTGAAGCCACCCTGTCCTAGGCCTGCTGTTCTCCCGGGTTCTGCCTCCCACTGGCCTGGGCATCTCAGCCAGGAGCCAGGCTGGTTTCCAGAGCTCCACAATCCTCCAGTCCCCTCAACACAACCTATTACACACACACACCCTGGGCTGCTGGAGACCTCCTCTGTGAAAACACCCCACTCCCAGCCCTGTGCTTGAGTCCCTCCCTAGAGTTGAGCTGTGGCCCTTTCCACCGGCTCCTCCACAAGACTGAGGTTCTCATGCTGCCATTAGGGGTCTATTGGGGAAATTGTATGCAAAACATAGTGCTGATGTGATGTTTCTGATTTGCTAGAGGCCATGACCAGGCCATGGGCTTTTGGAGGCCAGGCCAGGCCAGATCTGACCTTTGTCCAGACCCCCGGTCTCCAGCACCAGCACAGGGCTGGCCACCCAGCAGAGGAGGAGCATAAAATCGCTCTGTGCAGAGCAGAAGCAGCATCGGCCATTCCTGAAATGACTAGAACACCTCAGCACCAGGGAGGCTGCAGGGTCTGACAGGACATGAGGGGTCCCTTTCTTGAGCCATTACAACACCCCAGCCTCTGCTGGAACTCTGGGTGACAGGGAACTCACTCCCTCACAAGGCAGCTCGTGGCACTGCTTGGACGTTGTCTCAGATAAAAAGTTCCTTTTTAACAGAGCTCAAACACCATTTGACAGGTGATCGCCAACCCAACCTGCGGCCCCACCCAACCCTCTGACCACCCACGTGGGCAGCAGCTGCAGCTCACCCAGCATGCCAGGCCTGGCCACCGACCTCCTGCCTGGCAGAGGTCTTCCTGTGGCTGGGGACAGGCTTGTCCTGCCTCAGATCTTCCCAGTCACCATCTGTCCTCATCATTGGGGATGGGGGTGGTTAAAATCTCACACTAGGATGCAATAGCCCCGTGGCTAAAACACGGTACTGACCACGTCCCAGGCCCTGTGCTGAGTACAATTCTAAGAGAAGTTAGAGTATTTTATTTCCATTTGACAATGAGGAGGCTGAGGCTCAGAGAAGCTAAGGGACTTGCCTGAAGTCTCACAGCTTGGGAGCAGTCAAGCTGGAACCCAGGCCCTCTGACAACAAAATCTGCTACTGAACAGAGTCCCAGCTGAAGCATGTCCCTCAGCCCACAGCATGCCCACACGCCAGAGTGTGCGGTGTTCAGTGGGGTGCTGTTAGGTGCTTGTAAGGGGTTCCTGGGTAGCAAAGCATGGGGAAGCCTGGATTAAAGAAAAAATTCAAGGGGTTTCTTTGCTGTGGGACTTGTCAGTGGCTTTGATGTGCTAATGCACCACTGTGCTCTCCCCAAACAGTTGAGTCTGCAGGACTTCCAAACTTACTTGCCCAGAGCCATTTCTTTTCGGTAAACAACTCCCCAGTTTTACAGATGGGAAAGGAGGCCCAGAGAGGGGAAACAGTTACTCCAGGGTCACATAGCAAATGTTTTTGAAGATCAGAAAACTATATTCACTCACTGCCAGCCACCCTTCCACTGACCCACTCCCTCTGCTCCAGGAACCCTGGTCCTTTCGCCTGGTACCACCTGGTTCCCATGCCTTTGATGTCCACTGTCCGCAGTGAAGCCACGGTGTCTCCCAGGCCACCAGTGGGAGGAGAGAGAGAAGTGCCTTCAGGGGCTTGTGTGGGGACCGGATCCACCTCATGCATTGTTGTCATGTGACCCAGGGGCAAAGGGCAGACAGGCGGGCTGCACACACTTTTTATGGCTGGGCCACCTCCCAGAACAGTAAACAGAGGGGCAGGCAGCTGGCACGGGAGCCCTCTAGGGAGTGAAGGCCCCCGGTAGCAGACTCCTGCCCACCTCTGAAAGGGAGATGAGAATAGCAGCTTTTCCCAGGAGTTTTAAAAAATTATATTTTAAGTTCATATTGTTCATCTTCTTTTTTACCATTCCTCCCTTCTTGGCCTAACAGCACCTACTAGTTCTTTAGGCCTCAGTTCAAACAGCACCTCCTCCAGGAAGCCTTCCGGGCCCTCCAAGATAAGCTGGGAGCTGCTCTGGACTCCCAGGATGCTCTGCTCCCGATGCCCAGAGCATAGCTGAGACTGAGAACTTCTGGGGGACACGGACAGTGCATTCCCTGGGCCCGGCCACACTTAGCACATGGGGGTGCCCAACGGATGTCATCTGTTAAAAGAAAAACCTCAGCTAAAGTATCTGAAAAATTCAAAAGACTGATATATTGAGTCTGATGATTCTGCTTACAAAATGGATTTGAAATTTTACACAGTCCCGTAGACTCACTCTAACAATGTCCTGTTTTGATCTTCCAAATGCATTTTAAAGGTGACCTTGTTGCAGGCCTACAGAGATGGATGGGGCTACGTGTTAGGGAAGGGTGAGGATGATTTATACTTCTTCAACATTTTTCTTTAATGCTACGTATAATAATTTTTATACATTTTTAAAAAGAGAAAAAAAATTTATTCTTGAAGCTGCATCCCAGAGATCCCACGCTATGTACAACACTTGCCCGGCTATGAGCTCTGCTTGGTTCTGAGAAAGTCCTCCGGGGGCTCCCTGGGGCCTGGGCCCTGAGGGACAGCTGGTGGGGTGGTAGAAACTTGGCAGGGTGGACCCTGCCCCGTTGTCCCTCTCTGGGGGCCTCCCCCGCATCTGGAAGCCCTACTGAGAATGTAGTGAGGGGAGACAGCTCTGCAACCCAGAGGGGCCGTCACCAGAGCCCCTCCCTCAGGCCCCATCCTGTGGGCTCTGTGGTTTGCATCCAGCCTGGAGAGGGTCCAGGGCATGCCGTGATGGGGCTGGGAGGGGTGAGGCGTCAGGAAGAGGCAGGTGTGGGCTGACCACATTCCTCCCCATCAGGGCCTGGTCTGCAAGCATTCCATCTTCTCTCAGCTCCAGCCCCTTCTTCCAGAGTCAGTCTGGTCCCTACAGTGGCCTCCTACCCTTGAACCTATGGAGGACGAGGTAGGGCCCCCTCACCCAGCCCTCTGAGGATTGCAACCTCCCCCCAGGCTCCCTTATCCCCCTGAGGCCTAGAACACAGGAGCTGGAAAAGGTCTTTATCCAACAGGCTCACTGCTCAGATGGGCCAAGGGGACACAGGGGCTGGAAGGGTGACTTGTCCAAGGTTACCCAGAAGGTCAGTGGCAGGGCTGCGACTCAGACCAGGCCTCCTGGGCCCCACCAGGAGCCACATCCCCAGCACCTGAGGCCCTGCCCAGGTGGCAGGCAGGTGCTACGGCAGGTACTCCTCCTTCACAGGCATCGGGGAGGAGGCGCCCAGGAGGCTGGCAGAGCTGGGGCACAGGGTCCCCAGGGGCGGGCCGGTGGGGGTGGGGGTGATTTCGTGAGCTGGCGGAGGCGGCGGTGGGGGCTGCTGCTCCTGCTGCTGCTTCTTCTTGTTCACTTTGCGCTCCTTTGCCCGCCGGTTTTGGAACCAGATCTTCACCTGTGGGATCGGAGAACAGAGATGGGGTAGGTGGTGGGGAGACCACATGACACGGAGCAAGAGGAAGAGAGGGGGGACAGCTGAGCCCATTTCTCGACACGGCGTTCGTGGCCTGCCTCCTGCTCCAGCCGCCCAGACCAGTCACGGGCCCTGAACACATTACCCCCTTCTAGTACTTGCTCCCTACCCTCACGACAATTTTCTCTATAACTTTCTTCCTCCCCATCCTCCAAGGCCATGCTCTAACACCCCTCCTCCAGGAAGCCTTCCCTGTTCTCCGTGATGGCTCCCTCCTCTGGATTTAAATAGCACTTAGACCTCCTACAGCACTGACCATGGCCTGCTGTAGCCCATAGTTAATCAGATTCCTTTATCCCCCTATTTGGGGTCAGGGATATTGGGTTTCATTGGGGGCGGGGATTTGGCAGCAGCTCAGTTTCTGGTGTGCTGCGTGACCATGGCCAGGAGACTCAACCTCTCTGTTCTACTCCCTCAACTGAGCTCTGCAATCTGGCAGCCCGGAGGCCCAACTCCCAGTACTGCTCCTGTGGCTGAGATCAGGGGACCCACACACCTGCCGTTCAGTGAGCCCCAGATTGGCAGCCAGCTCTGATTTCCGCCGGATGGTGATGTAACGGCTGTAGTGGAACTCCTTCTCCAGCTCCAGGCGCTGGTGGTCGGTGTAGACCACGCGGTACTTGTCCTTGGTCCGGGTCTTACCTGAGAAGCAGAGGGGCCAAGAGGGGAGGTGAATGGGGAGAGGGAGGTGGCAGGGCCCCCAGGAGGAAGAGCAGTCCAGGCCCCTGAAGGAGGACCTGAGTGGGTCCAGGGGTGACAATCACTCCCCCAGACTCAGGCTTGGAGACTCCCACCTTGGGAGGCAAGTACTGCTCTCATGCCCATTTGGGGAGGCGCTGAGGCTCAGAGAGGGGAAGCAACTTGCTCAGGGTTACAGAGCAAGCTGCTGGTGGAATTGGGGTTTCAATCCAGGTCTCCTGACCCAGAGCCCTGCTCGGATCGCCAGCTCCACCAGCTTTAACCCAGCAGTTCCAGGATGTGGCTGTGCGACAGACACTCTGGGAGCTTGTGAAAAACACAGCTTCCAGGGCGTCCTGACCCTGTGAATCAGAAAGCCTGGGGGTGGAATCTGCATCATTATTTTTTGTGTGTGTGAAGATCCTCCCTGAGGCAATCTTGGCAATCTTCCTTTTTTTTTTTTTTTGGCTTGAGGAAGATTAGCCCTGAGCTAACATCTGCGCCAGTATTCCTCTATTTTGTTGTATGTGGGACGCCTTCACAGCATGGCTGACGAGTGGAGTAGGTCCACGCCCGGGGTTCCAAACCTGCGATCCCAGACTGCCGAAGCGGAGTGTGCGGAACTTTAACCACTTGGCCACGGGGCTGACCCCTGGAATCTGCATTTTTAACAAGCTCCCAGGTGGTTCTAATTAGGGGGTCATCAGACCACAAGTATGAGCACCAGAGACATGGAGGGACACCTGGCAGGGTAGGTTGAGACTAATGAGATGGCAGCTGCTCCTTTCTCCTGTGCACGAGAAGAGAGCAGGGAAGAGCCACCAAGGGCAGAGGCGGAAGCAGGGAGCGTGCTGGAACTCTCCTGGGTGTGTGCTCCTCAATTCCTGTCGAATGTCTGGCAGCTGCTGGCCCCAAAGTCAAACAGAAAGGACTGAGATGGCTGGCAGCCCCCTGGACCTGTCAGGTACTCAAAAGGCCCTGGCCCTGGACACCAAGCCCTGAGCTGGGGCTGCGCCGGGGGCTGGGGACTGGTCTGCCCAGAGGCACCCACGCACCCACCTGAGCCCAGGCACAGAGCAGCAGTGATGCGGCTCAGTCTACAGATATTTACTCCGCCCCTGCTGTGAGCCAAGAGCTAGGGCACAGCAGTGAGCAAAACAAAAACTCCCTGCTCTCGTGAGGCTTAGGTTCTAGTGGAGGAAGATGGGCAAAAATAAAACAAATATGGAAAATATTTGATATGTTAACTAATGATAAGTATTCCAGAGAAAAAGAAGGCAGGGAAGGAGGACTGGGAATTTAGGGAGGAGAGAGGTTGTGATTTTAAATAGAATGGTCCAAAAAAGCCTTACTGAGAAAGGGAATTAGAGCAAAGATCTAAAGGAGGTGAGGGAAAGAGCTGTGCAGACATCTGGGGCAGAGGGCTCCAGAGAGAGGGAACAGCAAGTGCAAAGGTCCTGAGGCGAGAGCATGCCTGAGGTCTGATGTGGGTGAGGAACAGTGAGGAGGCTGGTGCGGCTGGGGTGCAGTGACCAAGGGGAGGGGACAGGTTGTACAGGGCCTATGGGCCATGGAAAGGACACTGGGTTTCACTGTCTGGGATGGGGGCCTAAGCAGTGGAGACATGAGGTCTGATGTAGGTTTTAATATTACGCTGGCTGCTGCATGGAGAACAGATTGGCCAGAGGACGGGGGAAGTGCAGAGACCTGCAATAACCCAGGAGAGAGAAGGCAGTGGCTTGGCCTCTGTACGGGGCTCAGCCTGGGCCTGGGAACTGGACTTGAGGACCTTCTGGGGTTAATGTCAGGGCTCTTTGGGGGTGGGGATGAGAGGTCTGTCTGGAGAGAATATTAGGAGTCATGCTTGGCCTGGCCAGTGTGAGGGCCTGACTAGACACCAGCTTCCTTTCGTAAGAAGCTGAGCACGAAGCTATAAATAGGAGGCACACGCCAGCACTTTCAGATCCACGCACGCCTCCCACCAGGGCACGGCGGGTCTCTGAATGACCCTCGACCCCCTCCCACTTCACTCAGGTGCCCCCACAACAGCCGGCCTTCACCTCCCTGGGTCGCAGCCCCAGGCCCGCCTGTCACCCAGCAGCCCTGTGCTACGTACCCCCAGCCCTGTTCGAGCCCCGCCCCATCCCAAGCCCACGCAGCTTGGCAGGACAGCCACAGGGCTCCCAGGAGCCAAATGGTTGTGTGAAGAACAAGAGACAGCAGATGTTCCTGGGCTCCTTTCCTTGGGTTTCCTGCCAGAGTGGCAGAACCGCACTGGACGCTTCCATATCCACTGACCTCAGCCCGCTGCCCGACGCAGCATGGGACAACCTCGGCCCTTGGCCAGGCCTGGCCCAGGAAAGGGACAAGGGAGTGGTTGCTGAGGCCTTGGCTCCAGATGGGGCCCCTCCTTGGCCTAGAAAATTCAAAAACAGTTCAGCCTAACGCCACCACCACCAGAGCCCAGAAGACCTCTGAATCCACAGCCCCACTGGGTTCACTGGGCTCAAGCTGGAAGGGGTCATGGGAGTTTAGTCTCTTCCTATTTTACAGATGAAGAGACTAAGGTTCAGGATGGTTACACAGCTGCTGGAGGTCCAGATAAGAGAGGCCTTGTGAGTCCTTCCAGTCCAACCTCCCTGTATTGTCAGGGTCACTGAAGCCCCAGGCAAGCATGGACTTGCCCAAGGCCATGTCACCTGGTCTAGAGCTCTTGCTCCCCGCTCTCGTGCACAACCCCTCACCCCGTCAGGTTTAGGGTCCACGGAGCCCACCATGGAGCCCCCCTAAGTGTTGGCAGCAGAAGCTCAAACAGCAGACTGCCCATCTACTTGTACTTCTGGGAAGGGAGGGGCCAGACCACGGTGAGGGCAGGCCCCTGAGAGGCCTGGGCTGCTGGGACTGGGCGGTCCATAGGCTGGGGGCCCTTGCAAAGGCCCAGAAGATTCACAGCCTGAGGTCAGGGGATGACCTGCCCACCTACACCTCAGCTAAGAGATTACAAACAGCGATGATGAAGACACCCTTTCCCCCTTTCCCTCAGGCACCCAGCTCTCACTCCCATCCCTTCTGATGAGCAAGCGGGGATCCATCACATCCATTTCATAAATGGGGAAACTGAGGCTCAGGAAGGGGCCCTTGCTGAGGGCCATCCTGCCTGGTAGTGGTATGAACGCGGGCTCAGGTGTCCCGACCTCCAGCCTGGCTCTTCCCTGGGGGTTGCTAGGGGGGATACTAGATGGGAGATAGGGCTTTGGCTGCATAATTATTCCTCTCTGTTCTAGCAAGGCTGTAATGAAGACCCTGCCCTGTCGCCCCCTCTCTGGGCCCAGGAGAGGGCCTGGTGGGCTCAGGAACCCGTTGGCCAACTTCTATCTGGTGGAGCTGCTCAAAGCACACAATTTTATTGCTAAGAAAATGGCTCTGCCAAGGAACAAAATGTCTGATATCACACTGTGTGGTCCAGGAACCAGGGAATCCCATATGCTGTCCAGGGAGGGATAAAGTGGCACATCCTCCTTGGAGCCCAACTTGGTCATATCTAGGCACATTTAACACACACATATCCTTTGACCCACTAATCCCACTTCCAAGAACTGATCGCGCAGATAAATGCCCACAGCTGTAGCTATTTCAAATAACACAAGACCAAAAACAACGTACATGTCTACAGGTAGGGAACTGGTTAAGTAGGAGATGGCACATCCAGGGAGGGGAGCATCATGCAGTCATTAAAAAGAAATTATAAAGCTCCATGTATACCAATATGGAGCAATTTTTAAGATAAATTGCTAAGTAAAAATAAAAAAGCAAGACATAGAATGTCGTGAATAGAATGTATGTTACTGTTTTTGTATAAAAATGGGGGAATACACACACACACACACTCATACATGTTTGTGCACCCAGAGTTCTTTCTGAAAGAACATACAAGGAGCCAATAACAGGGGCCGCCTCTGGAGAGGGAACTGGAGGCTGAGGGGCTGCAGGTAGGAGGGAGTCTCCGGGATGTTTAAATTTTTACCACGTGCAGATGTGAGTTTGTATTTTTAATGACAGTCCGGAGCCCTGGGCTCCAGTCCCAGCTCTAGGCCAGAACTCCTGACTGCCCCAAGCCACCCTCCCTTCCCCCTCCCATGAGCACCTGTGCCACCCAGGAGCCCAGGAGGGAGAGAGCAGGGAGGTGCGTGAGAGCAGCGGTGAGGGGAGAGGGCCCGGGGTGAATGATTTACAGGCCCCTGGGACGCTGGGGCTAAGGGGGAAGTCCGGGCTCCTGTAACAGGTGTCTGATGGGAGCCAGCCGCTCCCAGCCACCTAATGAATAACCCTCTGGGCCAGATGCCAGTGGGAGTGGGTGGGGAGCCCCCCAGCTCTTCAGGGGTGAGCTAAGCAGGGAAGAGCCTTGGATAACTCATCCAGATGAGAGGCTTTCTCTCTGCTCTGGCTTTGGGACATGAGGACTGGCCCATCCATGTGCACCAGGCTGCCAGGGAGGTAGTAAATTCCCCTTTCCCGAAAGTGAGCACAGTAGAGGCCCTGGGAAGCTACAGGCTAACAGTTCCAAACGCTTGACCAGCAGCCTCGGAACTGCCTGGGGAGCTTTCTAAAAGCACAGATTCTAGCCCGAGAATTTGGATTCAGTGCAGCTGAAATGGGATTTGATACTTGAATAGCTTTCTAGGTGACCCTGACATGGCAGTTTGGGCTAGCAGACCTCTGGGGCTGTGAGGTGCATCTTCTCACTGGCTGGGTGATTTAGGACAGTCGCCTCGCCTCTCTGAGCCTCATTCTCTGTATCTATAAAATGGGGATAATTATGATTTTAATAATGGCCAACATGTCTATGTGTCAGGCACTTTGTATGTATTTCTCAACAATCTATGAAGTTGTGCAACTGTTATCCCTATTTTACAGATGGGAAAACTGAGGCTCAGAGGGGTCCACACATCCAGCAGGTGGGGTTT